GCGCGTGCGATAAGGCCTTTGTAGTGTGGAGCTACGCTACGGCCGCGGGCTCAGTCGCTCTCGCCGCCAGCCATGCCGCCACCGGCTCCTGCCGCACCACTCCAGCCCTGCCACCACCACCACCACCACCACCACCTCCAATGGTACGTTGCGCCGCGTCCGTCTTCTTGGGGCCATGCAGCTAGATTCGCCTTGACATTCGCCATGTCGCGGTTCTATTAGAAATCATACAGGATATGGGTCATCGGTATTGGAGGGGGAGTCTGAAGTCCCATGAACATCGCACCACTCTTAGTAGTTCCAGAGGTTGTTCGAGGCGGGAGGATTAATCTACGGTCACTTGGAGCGAAATGAGAATGGACACAGGATCGGGAAGGTAGGAACGGACGTGATTCGTTGCCCGTTGTTTAGGGTTCTGAGGATTTAGGGTCCACATGGATTCAATACGAGGAAAACAAGGAAACTATTGAGAAATATCAGAGAAATCTCATACAGACAATGACATCGTCCTACTTACATTTTACTCACTGGTGTTGAATGTCTGCCACTATTAGAAAGGCATCCGCAGATTTGTCTCTACGTATTGCTTTCCCACCAGATCTTATGAACATTTTGAGGAAATGTGCTAGATGAGAAAAGTTCAGTATGTATGCTGTCCAGATTTCGGGCTTGTGATTCTAGATGTCAGAGCTGTTATTTATTACAGGTCCCTGATTTTAATTTTACCGAATTGGAAACCTTGTTACATTAGAGGATATCTGAGCGTATGAGAGTCTTTTGGAGATGCCAGTGGAGAAGTCACTTCACAGTTATTTCTCCAAAAGCTACATCAATTCCAATTTTATTTTTTAAATCAAAGAAATTATCCCTTAAAACGAAAGACATCAATCACACTCTTTGAAATTGTCAATTGAGAAAAAATCTAAACATTTTGAATAGAAAAGATATTGGATTCGTGATTGCATTTACTTAAGAATGCATTAATTTCGTTCACTTCTCCATTCAGGTTAGGAGGTTTAACAAAGTTAGTTGTCTGCTAAAAGAGCTTTCTGTCCGTAAGAGACCTATTAATTTATTTCACATTATTGCTATACAACAAGCATAACGCTTACATTCCCTCGTTGCAGCTTGGTGTACATGCCCAGGGAATGTAAGCGTTATGTTTGTTATATAGCAACTCTTTTGTGGATTTGGAGGGGAAACATAGCAGAATCCGGGGTAGTTGTTCTTGCTCCCAGATGCGCTAGGTTTCCCTGTTGCGCAACTAATTCGTGCAGTCGCAATTTTACATACCTGATCTATAATCGGAAATATATGAAAGGTCTTGAAGTGTCTTGGGCGAGGGCGTTAAGACTCTTGTTTTATGGTCTGTCGCTACCTTGAAACAGAGCTAGGGTGGAAAGGGAAGAGGGAGGCAAACTAAAATGGCAAAGTATCAAGAAAGAGGATGGCACTAAGATAAAGTTTATTTGAAGAACATTAATTATTAAGTTTAATTGTATGCTATTTTATTAATGTTAACCGAAGTTTTAATGTAAATAAACGAAAGAAACTATTCTCAGATTTATTGAAATGTATAACTGCCAAGTAGAATCATGAATGACTATCTTGAGACGAGCCGCGTTTGCCAGAGGAGAGTCGGCATGAATGCGACGGAACGCCCCGGGTGGCGTGAGCCCGAGCCCCGCCGCGCCACCGGAGAGGCGCGTTCCACAGCGCTGCCGCGCCGCCTTAGCGCCGCCGTCGCTGACGCTGCTGAGCGCTGGCTTTTGCTTGCAGCTGCCCGGTGTGGCGCGGCGTGCACTTTGTTAAGCTCGAGGGCCGCTGCGTGCACTCGTGGCCCTGGGCGCCGTCGCTCGGCTGCATTTGGCGCGGGGTGCATGTGGTCAAGACGCAGGAACGGTGCGTGGACGGCCCCGCCCCCACTCCGCACCGCACCCCGCGCGCCGCACCGCACCGCACCCCGCCGCCGCATCGCCGCCGCCGCCGGCGCCACCGTCGCCGCCGCCACCACGCCGCCGCCGCCGCTTCTGCTGGCGGCTGCTGGTCGCCGCTGCTACGCTGCTGCTCTACGCACGCCTTCTACTTCTTCTTGTGCTCCCCCCTCTCGTCCTTCCGCCTACTTTGTTTCTCCCGCACGTCCCTACCCCCCACCCTTTCCGAGGTTGGGCTTATCGACCGATGTAGCATCATCCTTAGAACTTCCGCTCCTCTCTTTAATTATAAACTTCGGCCGCCGCTTCTCTAAAATTCAAGTCCCGTTCTTGTCCCCGCCGCCCCGAATCTCAATGCTTGTGCTGTGCGACCTGCTCGGCTGCTAGTGAGCGTGCGGCGGCGTGGGTGCGGCGCGGGGCGTGCGGGGCGGGGCGGGGTGGGGTGCATGGGGAAGAGCGCGGGTGTGTGTTTGGCAGGAGGAGTGGGCGGGGCAGGGAGGGAAAAGGCGGAGCCGACCGTCGCCATGGAGTAAATAAGCTCTGCTCATGCGCGCCGACAAATGAGCGCGGGGTTGATAGCGCGCTTCACTGCTCGCGGAGTTCAATTTGGACTCTTAATGAGCGATAATTACGTGGAGTAGGAACACAAAGGAGGAAGCGCTCAATTCTCGCTGTTTTTGCCTCAGATCGTTGTTTTGATGTGCTTGTCATTTTGGAGGTCTCGTGTAGGTGGAGGTAGTGTTCCCCGAAATGACTTTCTTAAGATAGATTATCAATCTTTATTAGCAATAACATTGATATTAATTCTCCCGTAAACCCGAATCTGGGTTAATGATCAGCTCAATCTAATTTTACGGCCGATTTTCTGCTATTCTTGGACAAGATATGAGATTCTCACCTGTTTTGTCTCAAGGGAGCAAATATAAATAGCAGATCAAGTAGCTTCGACACTCCTACAATCAATGTTTGTATAATACGCGCTTATATTCTAGTTTCATGATCACTGCCTCTTCTCCTTTATCAAAAGAGTTGAATTATTAATAACAGATAGGAACGAACTTACTTTGTAGAAGTTTTTAATTCTTTCACAAACGTCAAGGATAAAAAAAATGAGTATAGTTGAATAACTGTTCATGGCGCGTCGCGGCTCTGCTGTTTGAGGGATAAGTAGAATGTTTAAATACTAGAAATATGTAAAGTTGTTGAATGCACTTGATTCCAGTTTCCATGGTTCCTAAATTTACACGTTTTTTCAAAACGGTATACTTTTTTAAGTCGTTTCAGTTTTTAAGAAGCATTTTAAATTTTACTAATCAAAATTCGAATTTTTGTTTCCTCTGTTGAAATTTTAATAAACTCATTTATTAGGTTTTTGTAACGTTTTATACGTACATTATTTTTGTAATAGTTCTGATGATTTGACACATTCAATTTATGTACTCAAAGAATGAATTATTATTTAAAAGAACCACTATTCGGTAGTGGTATTGTGAGGGAAACGTGTTTCGCTGCACTCAACAAATCTTGTGCTCAGAATTTGGTAAGTTTTTGGGGTTCCATTTCTTGTAAAAATTAAGAATTTTCTGCTCATTGTCAAGAATTTCACATAATCTTTTGAATGTTTGTGATTGGTTCTAAGCCCTTTGACTGCATGACAATCTGCATACAACCTTCCTCCAAATGTTGTTATCTCGTTACCCATTTGTACGCACGTTCAAATATTAATATTTTACTGGGAAGAGGTAGAAGAACGCGATTGATAGCTTCATCAGGTATTATTTTGCGAGCTCACAGATGTAACTCATTATTCTTTCACATTTTCAAAACACCAGGTGCTAAATAATATACAGTATACTCAGAAATCTTGAGAAAACATGTTTTATATTTTTTTTGGTGAATTTATTGCGATATTGTTAATAATTCTGTGAGATCCTTTTTTGAAACTGTCGTTAAAATTACAAGACACCCCCCTGGGTGTTTGTAAAATTTTCTAGCCACAATCTGCAGTCCAATAGGACATTGATTTAAGCAATCATGTAGCTTAATGAACCCACTTGAACAAAGTGTTCTTCTGTCTCTTGTCTTCGTAAGTGTTACCTCTTCCAGCTCCAGATATTTCTTCTTTTTCGGTAGAGTCGTTGTGTTGTTAAAAATACCTTGCTAAAAATAAAAATATACATTTATTATTCTATTCAATGTCAAAGAGGTACATATGTGGAGAACATTATTTAAGTATGAAATATATTTAAATGTATACAATAATTATTTGTTGTTACCGAAATAACAGACTGGCATCATCATTAATAATTTATATTTTAATTAAAGACAGAGCAAGGAAAGTGTGATACGTAAAAAAGCTGCATGTTTTCATACCAAATACGACAGTTGAATTCCATAACTACAATATTAACATTTTTTTGACGTTTCTGACTTGAGAATATTGTAAATAATCAGTCAAAATGTTCATACAACTCCATAATACATTTTAAAACTACAGGAATACCTCAGGCTAAATCGCAGCCTTCAGTAAAAACCGAAATGTTTCAAATGTATTTTTCTATGAAGTCTTTCATTGCCTCTTGTTTGTCAGTTAATAAAACGAAGCGATTAATACAGTTACTACTAATATAAAGATGATAACAATAAATAATAATATTTAATTATAAATAATGCGAATTTCATACTTGCATATTTGTATCTGTATGATAGCTGTACAAAAGCTGATACCTAAGAATAAACAGACTAATAATAATAATAATAATAATAATAATAATAATAATGCGTGTTAGTGCTAGGGGTAGTGGTGAGCGCTTGTGTGAGCGTGTGTGTGTTACAGGTGGGCGAACGGCGCGAGCGGGCCGGGCGGGTCGCCCGAGCTGGGCGGGGCGGTGGGCCAGTCGCAGCAGCTGCCGTCGCCCGCGTCGCCCAGCGCCGTCATCGTCAGCCCGGAGAGCCTGTCGCGCGACTCGCAGCTGTCGTCGACGCCGTCGCGCCAGCTGACGGCCATCGGGCCGGTGCCGGGGCGCGGCCCCGGGGCCGGCGTGGGCGTGGGCATGGGCGTGGGCGGGCCGGGCTCGCTGGGCGGGTCCCGCGCCGGCTCCCTGCGCCGCGCCGCCCACAAGGCCTCGCCGCCAGGGTGAGTCCATCCGCCTCTCAACGCCCGTCGGCGGGAGGAGCACGTGCCGGGGGGAAGACACCAGCGTTATATTCAGCGCTCCGCTGCAATGAACAGGAGAGAGGGGTCAAATGCACAGAGTGGAGGTTAGAGGAAAGGGGAAGCCGGACCGCTCCAGTTTCTGAATAGATATATCTGATATTCACAGGCCTGCGCCCAGAGGGGGTGGGAAGCTCCTCCGAAAATTTGAAAGGGGATCCGTAGAATTGTATAGTAAAATAATTTTATAACCGCAAATAAGCTCAATCCCGGATTACTCCTTTTTATATTAACATTTCTAGAAATCATTATATATTTGGGAAAGAGGCTCTTCAAGCTATGTAGCAAACATAAATGTTTCAACATGAAATCAATTATTTTTATCAATATACCTTAAGTTATAATTTAGTAGTATGTTATATTTTCTTCCCTAGTAAATTATGTCATATGTCAATGAAGTTTAATGGGGATGGCAACCTCAAAATTTAGTTGCTTACCCCCCTCTTATTTTAGGTTGTTCACACCTATTTTGGTAATCGTGTCTGCAAAAGTGTTTCGCAGCATCGATATCGGAAAGATTGTATTTTTGCAAATATTTTTGCAAATACTCTTTTGGGTGTATACACTAGGTGGTGTAAAATGTTGGATCTCAATAATCAGTTTGCACCAGACATATTTTTTTCGCATGTTTTTATTAATTATTATACCTAAAGCTTAAAAGGTATTGAAAGATACTAAAATTATATACTCCGTGTTCTGAAAACAAGTTAGTTACTTAGTTACATGTTAGTGAAATCACAAAATATATCATTACGTGTGATATGAACAATTGTGTATTCGACCGAACAAAATGTTTGTTTCTGCATTGTTCGATGCTTTCTCATCATTATGTAAAGATCATCAACAATAGAGAAAAGGGAACGCGGAAAATTGTCGTGTTAAACGAGTATCCTCTGCACTAGTATACAGGGGTTTTAGATATCATTGCGTCATCATTGCTCCGTTGAGTAATTTAAATATAAGAATAGAAATTTAAAATTGCTAGAGTTTTGGTCTTCCCTCCTGACACGTGTATCCTCCAAAAATCAATGTTTTAAATTATTTTGCACCCATTCGTTGAGATTTATAAATGTATTATTTTGCATGTTGTGCATGATCGTAGTAGCATTTGTGCCTTGCTTGTTTCATTGCATGTACAATATTTGCTGTAAAAGTTCATTCAATTTGTCTACATATAGTCAAAATACTTGTATGGAAGTCCATTTCAGCTTGCCCTCGTCATAAAAACAATGCGTGCCAGGTTATAAAGAGCTTCTCGTCTCTCTCCGACGCAGCGAGCCACTTTTGGCAAATCAGAAGTTGCCGCGTTTTTTTTAAATCGTTCGTGCAAGGAAGTACAATCAGAACACGAAATGATTTTCAGGTTATTTTTCATGTCATGCTGAAGTTTTGTATTACTAAGTGTAGTAGGTTTACGTATTGTAAATTGTGTTCCGAAATCCACAAAGACACATGTCGAAATGGTATTGAAAGCGTCCGCGGCCAGAGCCATAATCTGGGCTGTCATAATCCGGGTGACGCCGCGTCGAAGACTGAGGTGTTCGAAACGTCGGCACCTCAGCCTTCGACGCGGCGTCACCCGGACAGCCCAGATCACGACACATGTCGCATGGCATGACACGTAATGATTCGCATTTTCTGCGGAGGCGGTTCTACGTCCGTCCTGTGGCAAAGTCGCGCGCGGAGGCAGAGCGGAGGCAGAGCGGAGGCTGGGCGGAGGCAGAGCGGAGGCAGAGCGGAGGCAGAGCGAAGGCAGAGCGGAGGCAGAGCGGAGGCAGAGCGGAGGCAGAGCGGAGGCAGAGCGGGGGCGTGGGTTGAGGAATCCAGTGCGCTTCCACGCGCCCTCCCTGCGCATCTCGCCGCTCGCGTGCCCTCGGGGGAGGCGTTCCGCGCAGGTGGCAGCCCTGCGGGGCGGGGGCGGGTAGTGGAGCGGGGTGGAAGTCTGCGCACGTGCCCGAACGCGCTCAGCGCCCAAGCGACCCCGCCCCCTGCCCCGCACCCCCGCCACAGCGCTCAGTGCTCTGAGATGCCTATCTAGGCGGCGCAAACCCAAATGTACGCTTTGAAGCGCAAGGTGATTTCTAATGTTAATTTTTAATCTGCTGTCTCATGGTAACATACAAATGGGTCCATTTTCATTCGTTGGATTTTGTTGGAACTAGTAGCCTCGTATAAAAGCCACGCGCGTGATTTTAGTACGAGGAGTTCAGTGAATTCTGAAAGTAAATATATTTCTAGTATTTTTTAAGTAATACTGGAAACTCTATTTTTTGGAAACGAGCTACGCACTAACTTTCCACGTACTACACTACGGTAGTATGCTTCGAAAAGGGTTACTCTGCTACTCCATAATTATTTCATGCAGGTTGTTTTTGTGGTAAAACGCTAATAAAATGATGATGTCGTTGCGCCCCGTGCCACTGAGCTTAGTGCTCTGAGATTACTATCTAGACCACTCAAATTCCAAATGTCCGCTTTCAAATGTAAGGTCACGCAAATAAATGTTACTACACCTGTAGCTCATATACACATTTAACTATTGTCGAATAATTTCATTGGAAATCGGCTTTCATGCTCTAGTAGGTTTCTATTGAAGGCAAAAATACTTCCAATTTATAGTCAATAATTTTGTTTTTAAATCGATTTTTTACTTCAAATTTTAACAAAAAGACCTAAACAATTCAGAATATTCACACAAACAATCAAAAGAGTTACTGAAGAATAGGAGGCCAAGAAGAGTCTATGCAAATGGAGTACACACTCTGGCGAATACCAATGAATTGGTCCGAAATTCAGCAACGCTGGGAGAATCACATCGCCTGGCGGAAGCTGTGTGCCCACTGCGCTTGCCGCGGCCGGCGCGCGCTTTAAAATGCATGGGCCCGCGGCCGCACAGCGCTAACGGTTGCGCCCCATCCCGCCTGCCTCCCCGCCCTCCACGCACGCCCCTCGTCGCGTGTAATGAGGGGGGGGGGCGAAAGGGGCGCCGAAATCGCGCGCCGATGGCGGCGCGACGCGAGAAGCCTCGCAGCAGATTTTTCCCAGCGGTGTCGCCGGAAAAATCACGCCACGTCCGCGCTGCGCCTCCCGCGCCCCCGAGCGATGTCGCCGCCCCGCCCCGTAGGTGGGAAACGCGGCGCGGCGCGAGGAAAGTGAAGGCGAGGGTGGTGGCGGAGGCAAAGATGTTGACGACGGAGGAGGGGGCGATGGCAAAGGTGGATGCGGGTGGGCTTCGGGATGGAGGTGAAGGTGAGACAGAAGTAGATGAGGAGGCGAAGGTGGGAACAAAAATGGAGAAGGTGAAAAGAAAAACGCGAAGGAAGAGTGAAGAAGGCGGAAGCGAAACGGAAGTGAGGAAGGAGGCGACGGCCGAGGAAGTCGAAGGCGGAGTCGAAGGCGGAGTCGAAGGCGGAGTCGAAGGCGGAGTCGAAGGCGGAGTCGAAGGCGAAGGCGAAGGCGGAGTCGAAGGCGGAGTCGAAGGCGGAGTCGAAGGCGAAGGCGGAGACGAAGGCGAAGGCGGAGTCGAAGGCGAAGGCGGAGTCGAAGGCGAAGGCGGAGTCGAAGGCGAAGGCGAAGGCGGAGTCGAAGGCGAAGGCGAAGGCGAAGGCGAAGGCGGAGTCGAAGGCGAAGGCGAAGGCGGAGTCGAAGGCGAAGGCGGAGTCGAAGGCGAAGGCGGAGTCGAAGGCGAGGGCGGAGAAAGACGAAAACGGTGGCGGAGGCGAAGGTGGAGGCGAAAGCGGAGGCGGAGACGGAGACGGAGACGGAGGCGAAGGCGAAGGCGAAGGCGAAGGCGGTGGCGGAGGATTGGGTGGAATGGGTGGAGCGCGAGCGTAGGCAGAGACGAGAGCGACGGAGTCGGTGGTGGGAAGAGTGGGCGCATCGCCGAGCGCCAGAGAAACTATTTGCCAAGCACGTGCGACAGGAAGCACTTCGCGAAGTGTCGGCTCGGAAGTTAATGCCGCCGTTGTCTTTAGATAAAGGCAAAGGGTTCATAGTATGCTCCAAATTAGCCGGATTATTGACTAGCTATGGATAATTTACCATAAAATTACTTTGTTTTCTGTTTCAATAAATTGATTTTGATATTGGGATGCTAACTTTCAAAGGCGAATAACAGGTACTTCAATAAGGGCCATTCTATTTTTGTAATGCTATACTGTAATAATCATGCGCAATGTCGACAAAAATGGTATTACAGTATTGTTGTTTGTGTCACGTTAACCCGATCAGAGCTGTATTCACAATGACCAAATTTCTGTCTGTAGGGGCGAAAAATCCTGTGTATTAAGTAACATATTCCAAATTCAACCTTATAAAAATTCTTCTTGTTGTTGCGTTGTCCCTATCTTTCTACAGTTGAAAATCTTAAATGAAATTTTTTATACTTAAGTCCAAAAACACTATGAATATCAAATCTTTCGTATCTCGTTTAGTGTTAATGCGGAAAAATATCACAACCCTTTTGTGTAATACTTAAGTAAAAGTCTGCGCTGGTTGAGCCTTGAATACCGTTACGTCTCGTGTTAAGTTAACTTACTGAGTTGCCAGGAAAAAAATCTCGCTTCTGCGTAGCCCACAGCTTTGTAAAGTCGCTTGAAAGACCGTAGGGGCGGCCGGAGACACGTGTGGTGACGGTGGGTGGAGGTGGAGGTAGAGGAGGTGGTTTTATGGAGGGGGACTGAGCGTCGCGTCGCAATCTTGGGGAGGCCAAAGGAGTTGGTCGAAAAAAAGTAGAAGTCGAAAGAAGTCTGAAAAATGCCGGGGACTGGGCGAGGAGGGTGGAGTTTCGCAATTACTCAAGAAAGCGCCCGTGAATGGGAACAAAAAGAACGAGAGAAAAAAAGTTCGCAACAACACACAGAGAAAACACGGTACAATGTAACGTCAAATGTTCAGGTAATTTATTATGTTTTGACTGCTGT